CCCCGCCGTGGCCATCAGCAACTGCGACGGACTGGTAAGCTCGAGGCTGGCGGGGAGGCTTGCGCGCTCTTGCTTGCGTTTCGGGGCGGTTTTCTCTTAAGAGGTGAATTGTGGCATCTCGAAACCGTTTTTTTTTTTGGTGACGCGGTAGTTGTCCGCGCCGTCCATCTCCCCTTTTCCCCACGAGGCTAGGCTCGTGGCGTAAGCGGTGCAGGGCGCCGCACGTGCGAGCGCTCCAACCCTCCGCTATACCTTGGGACCGCTAAAGGAACTTTTTCTTCTGCCTTTCCCACCTCCTAAACGAGGCCGAGTGAGCTCGAGCATCTCCCGGAATCTCTGTTGCCCTGCGGTCTCACTCCCACTGAGCAGCTTTTTGGGGGAGAACCTCTTTTTTTTAATTGATTTTATTTTCCTAATAGCCGACGTGCTCAGTGTCTTTTGGCTTTCCGAGCGCAGTTGGGCACCGGTAACTCGCTGCCGGGCACTTTAATTGCTTTCAGTGGCTCTGCTCCCTCCTTTGCGCCGGCGTCTGGTCTGCCCTTGGCTTTCCAACCCTTGATACGCTCGAGGAATCGCTTCTCATTTTTTATTTTTATACTTTGGCCCGTTGCCCTTCACATTTCCTTTTGAGCCAATTTAATCCTTGTTTTAAGTGCCAGCGTTTGCCCTTTCCTCCTGGTACCGCTTACGTTACTCCTGGGTTGGAGTAAACTTCTTATTTTGCGTTTTTTTTTTTTAAAAAATATTTCTGTTTTGGGTGTTTTATTCTAGGAGTTCCTCAGCCAATTTTAGCTGCTAGCACAAACAATTTGGCATTCCTTTCTTTTTATGCAGCGCCTGGTGTTACTATACGAGCCGAAATGATAGAGCAGCACAGCTAGAAATACATATTTCGCCTACGTATAGTAGTTTAGTTTATTTTTTTTTTTCCCGACCATTTTAACACATCGTCCGCAACTTTTGAAGCATATATTTTTTAAATTTTTTTTTTTTGGTCTCAGATGAAGCTGTGATTTTTGCGGATGAAGCTGAAATTTCTCTGTGATGTGGATCATGCCGGGGCTGGTGAATTTGGGCAGGCTTGAAAGCTGTAAAGATCTTGCCTATAACTCCAGCAAGCAACTAGTAGTGCTGCTTCTGGGGTGAAAATCCATTTTTTAAGGGTGCAGGCTGACGTTGCGGATATAATTCCCGCTGGCATCGCGAGTGGACGGACGCTGGAAGCCGTCGGCAGCTGAGTCCATATCCTGCCGTGGTGGGAAGCAGTGGGGACAGTGTTTGGGGGTTTCTTGTCCTCAGAGCCTGCTCTACTGTCAGGGTCTGTCTCTTGTAGGCTTTATTTTAACTTTTCCAAGACTTTCGGTTTGTTTCTTCGTGTGGGGCTCCAGCAGTGCTAGGGAAGAGGAGAAAAAAAAAAAAAATCTTTCTTTTTTTCTTTCTCTTCCTGCTGTGTATTTATTGCTCCGTGGCCAACGAATAAACACCCTGGCCTCAAGCATTAATTTCCCATCATCTGGCGAAGTACATGTGGCCATCACAGGCTGGGGGAAGAGGTCAGGAGGACCGAGCCCGAGCAGGGGCTCTGCTCCTCCCCTGGTAAAGAGGATTTTGTGATGATTTGGGATAACGGCTTTAGACTGAGAGCATCAATTCAGATTAGATCTAAGGAAGAAATTTTTCACTCTGAGGGTGGTGAGGCACTGGAACAGGTTGCCCAGAGAAGCTGTGGATGCCCCATTCCTGGAAGTGTTCAAGGCCAGGTTGGATGAGGCTTTGAGCAACCTGGTGTAGTGGAAGGTGTCCCTGCCCGTGGCAGGGGGTTGGAACTAGGTGGTCTTGAAGGTCCCTTCCAACCCAAACCGTCCTGTGATTCTATGATAATGGCCAACCTAGCAGTTGGCTTCTCTCTTTTGTGGGTTTTTCTGGCTGGTGTAGATTGCTATATGGTCCTCTGGCATAAATTAGTCTGACATTTTGTATCTGCTTGGGGTCTGTCCCCTTTGAGGGAGTAGTGAGACCAAGAGGACCGCCAAGAAAAGCAGCCAAAAGAGCGTGATTTAGCAAACGGAGCAAAAAACAGAACCGGGACGCAGCAATAGGCATGGATGAGATGGAACTGATGACCACGCCGTACCTCCAGCGTGACCCAGCAGAGGAGCAGCAGAACCCCCGGGAGGGACGTACGCGGTCGGGACCGTCGTTAACGTCGTGCTAGGTAGGGACTAACTTATCCGGGGGAACAGCGGCTGTAGGTAGCCTCGTTGCTCTTCGATGCGCGCGTCCCTCGGAATCGCCGTGGGCTTTTTCTGGAAGTTATCCACCAGCTTCCAAAGGGGATTATGACATTCGCATCCTGGTATAGAGTGCGTGGGAGGCGCAGGGCTGTGCTTGGCCGCTCGTTTCTGGGCAGAGGAGACGTTTCTGGGATGCCGCGGACGGAGGCTGTGTACACAAAGAGATTATGCTGTGTATAAACAGAGACTGAGATTATAAATAACGAGGGAGAGAAAAAAAAAAAAACCAACCCAGCTCTTGAAGAAGAAAGTAGGAGCTAAATCTTTCCCAAATCCATATTTAGCCATGGAAGTGAGCCGATTTCTTTTTGCGGACGCCAAACCCACCGCTGTTATTTGCTGCAGGCACCCGTGCGTGAAAATCCGTGGTGTCTCGTACCAGGGTGGGAAGATGCCGTCGTCCGTGACATAATTCCCAAGCTGATCTGAGCCACCAAATTCCTAACGGATAAAGTAGTGTTAGTCAGCAATCTGCCCCGGCAGACGCGTCTCGCTGCAGCAAAGGCATCGTCCCGTCTTTCCGCGCGTGGTTGACCTCACTTTCCTTCGTGCTTCACTGGTTGCAGAGATGGGGGGTGAAGAATTATCATCCGGAGGCACCGCATTCACTTTCGGTGGCGGATTTTTCCCCGCTCCTCCCTGGGGTTATTTGCACCGGACAAACCCGACGTGTCGCAAAAGCGTAGAGCCGGTGTTTTCCGTCCCCGTCGCCCTGACCTGCTACGAGTGGGTGGCAGTGGATAAGTGGAGCACGGAGGTGCTCAGGAGCTGTAATTGATAGGGAACAAAAGCAGAAAGAGTTGCTGTAATGATGCCCCTGTGCCAAAAAAATACGGCTTTGTCTTCTGGGATTTTCCCTGCAGCTCCTGAACTTAATTTCAGGAAGAAAAAAGGTGCTGCTGGTTTAAATGCCCAGCAGGTGAGAGGTCTCAAGGCGTTGCTCTCGATGGAAATGGAGCAAACCATGTCTGAAGGTGTAATATTTATTTTAGCCCCCAAACTTTGCTGATGGGAAGCTCTCCCTGCGTCTCGCTTAGCGTCTTGCCCGGGTTTGCCACGCTGGACCGCCTGCTTGGTGAAACGGTGCAGGGTGGGAGTCTGAGCGGTTCATTCCCTCGCTCCATTCCGCCAATTCCACCTTCCCTTTTAATGCCAATGAGCTTGCGGATGGAGAAGTACCAAAACAGCGACCGAGCACCTCTGGGCCGTGCCCTGGTGCCATGCACGCCATGCTGCTGCCACATGTGGTCCAGGTCCGTGACGGGCAGACGCCCCTCTCTACAGATTCCCCCACCCCACCCTGATGCCTTCTCCGGGCAATCTCTGGCTGAAAGGCCAGCAGCGGCTTTCTGGGACTTTTATCCGAATTAAGTGTGAATTCATGTAGGAAAAATACATAACTGTGCACATGCAGCTGGATTTCGCCCCCCTCCTCGGTGCTGTTTGCTTCTCTGGCGGAGTGGAGCGGCTTGATTCATTTTTCCATGTTTCGGCTGCCTTGAAGTATCGGAATTTCCTGAATTCCTGGGGGAGTTGGAAGTTTTTACCCAGCGATGTTGGAGGAGTCACTTATCCGGGGTGTTGGGAGAGGAGGGATCCTCCTTGGCGAGGCTGGCTCCGGGCTGGTTCATCTCTCCCGTAGCTTGGGGAGACACAAGAAAGCTGGAAAAGAGGCTTCACCCTCTGTGAGCTGGCAGAAGTGTGTGTGATGTTCTCCTTAAACTAGTAAGAAAAGTATATTTCCCTCTTTCCAGTGGAATTGTCTTCAAAGGGCTGTTTTGTAGTTGGGGGGTTACCTTCACTGGGAGCTGCAGAGAGCACCTCGTGTTAGAAATATCACCAACGATAGTCCCGCCTTGCCGGGTTTCGTTTGATTTGGTGTTACTATTAAACCAAATAAAACCGGGGGTGGGAAGCACGTGGCGAATCCATCGTGGAGGACGGGATCAACCTCCTGGCCAGAGCCCAGGGAAGGATCATCGGGGTCTTTTAGGTGACATCTGGCCCCTCTTGCTGCCTCCCTATGGTTATAGCCTTCCCGAAATGTTGAAGTACAACCCAAGCTGCTCCTTTCAAAGACCGAGCAGGTTGGTGCATGCCTCTTGCAATGACTTTTTTTTTTCCTATTTTTGTATCTCCCGCGGTTTCCGTTTTGTTTATGAGGCTGCTCCGTCACGGTTGGAGGCAGTAGCGTGTTGCATCCCGCCTTTGGGAGAACGCCCAGGCGAGAAAGTCAGATTTTAATCCGGCCTTGTGGCGACGCGGCTTTCCTCCGGCTGCCTGACTCAGCAAGTCCCGGCTTTTGCCGTAAATCCATCAACCAGCTTTGGAGTGCCTCATGGCCGGCTGAAACGCCCCGGGGCAGGGCTGCGAGGGGGTGGCAGTGCCCCAGCAGACCTTCTCCTGGGGCAGGGGTCAGTGCTTCTGCCAGTGGGATGAACTAGGACGCTGGCAGGGGTAGGCGTGCCGGGGAATTTGGAGTAGCCCGAATTTGGAGCGATGTCCAAGATGGAAGGACGGCAGTCAGTGGGAAATTGTCGGCGTTAATCAGGGGTGTAAGATCTGAGCGTGTTTGCGATTCCTGTGTCAGATGTCCAAGCGCTCTGCCCTCCTGGCTACTCAATTTTGCACTCAGCGATGGATGCCCACCTTCTCATCGTTATAACGAAGAGCAACTTCTTAGACCTGCCCCATTGTCATGGTCTTGCCCAGCCATCGCTGGACCTGACCTGGGAGCTGACCCTTTGGCTTGATCTCTGCCTTATCGCTACCACCTTGCCTCGTGCTCCAGGCTCTTGGTTGAACCTGGCTGTGGTCTTCATCAGCCTGGTTGAGGGCTGGTGGGACAAGCCCTGGCTGCTGAGGTCCTGTCTTGGTGACCTGAACGTCTCCTGCAGGAAGGACCTGAGATACGTGTGTCAGGCAAGTTGATCCTAGCACAACCGCCCGTACTTCAGATTCCTGAGGAAGGAGGTAAAACAAAACCAGCCAAAAACTTGCTTTCCAGGGGAGTTAAGCAGCTAATAAAACCCGAGTGGAGCAGGAAATTTGATGAAGTCTAACGGAGCCAGGTTGGCTGGTGCCACGGTGAACGCGACGGTATGTGAATGCGAAGGGGATCCAATGACCCAGGCGGGCTTGGAAGAGCCCCAGCTTTGCCTGGCTGTTTACGGAGCCCAGCTCACATCTTCGTACCGGTCTCTGCCAAAAAAACTAAATATATATATATTTTTTTTTTTAAATATTTTGTTTTATTGGGTGAGAACAGTTCCAATACCCCGGCGCTGATGAGGACTCCAGTAGGTACATGCGATGGCGGGAGCTGTGAAAAACGCTGGGCTCAGTGGGGCTGGCCATGGGGTGGAAGCCAAATCCTGGCCATCCTTCTGCTTGCTTGAGGTTCGACCTGGCTGGCGCCACGGG